ACAAATCTTTATCTTGCTGACTAGAAAAATTTATTATTGGGGTCAATAGTTGATAGACTATTAAAAATAAGGAGAGTATTAAACTAACAATTACCTATCAATAGCTAAAATATTTCAAGCATTTTCTCTGTTTCAAGTTCTTAACTGAAAGAAATGTATGGCAATGGATATCCGAAAGCACTCTTCATACTAGAATAACAGAGACAGTTATTTATTGTTTAGGTTAATTAAGACTCAAATAGAAAGTTGACAACAAGTCGTGCTGGTAATTTGTACTCTTCCTGCTCTCATATGCCCTTTAGTGGTTTCTCATAACATTAACATAACTCACCTATCTAAATGTTGATATGAAACAAAATGCATGATTCAAAAAGACCAATCAAAAGTGAGTCATAGATGAAAGAGAATTAGATTTGCGTCATGTCATATCAGTGACTGACTTCAACTGAAGTGTATTTCTGGCGTTTTCAGCAAGCAATGTCATGAATAAAAAACAGGAAATGTAAGTGATGCTCAAATATATGGACACAAAAGCCTTATGGAGTAGCCGCATAATTAGGGCCGAACAATAAATAGATTGTATCAAATATCATGAATAATTTACCAAATGTTGTATGGAGGTGTGGTCATTATTCAAAAAACAGATAAATAGATTTGACTCTTAGATTCAAGGAAAAATCTCCCAATTCCTACTATTGCACTATAGTCTGTCGCAATTTATAAAACAATCGATATACTTACAACAAGAAAATGAGTTTTGACTAGAAAAATCAGAATAAAGGGTACTCCCGTATTATGTGAACCAAGATGGTGGACCCGGGACGTAGTATGTGTACCAGGTATGTCTACATTCCAATGTCCAACATCTTGGTTCACATGTGACGGGAGTACCGAATAAATGCTGTAAAGACACGGAAATATGCGCTTCACAACACACTACGTATACAAGGGCACAATTTATCAAAGCACTATTTCAGGTAAAAACCAACTATAATATAATAAGTTTTTAAAATTAAATGATAAACAGTATTGTCTGTAGGGATGGGCAGGTAACAATAGAAATACCCAAGTACTCGAATACAAATAAATTGGGTTGGTATTAAACCTGACCCGGGCCAGAATAATTAATTGGATTTGCAGAAACTTTTCTCACTCACTCATTTTCGGGCGTGGTCGTAAACATTACCTCGTTTTCGCGTTTTTGAACTCTATTCGTTAGTTTTCAGTTGTGTTTCGGAAATTTAAATCAGATATTTCAAATATCACTTTGTCTTCCTAGTAGTTTTAATTTAATTGCAGTAATAAAAAATGAGAGTAGAAATAGCTGTGATAGACTAGCCCAAAATTCTTTACCGGTACTTCTAAAAAACATATTGTTGTATGCGATGAAGTATAATGATGGTTTGAAATAAATATCCCATTTTACTCGAATACACTCTTATAATAAAACAAGCCCCGAAAATTTTGCAATGGTAAAGTATAGGAAGAATATTTTCGGGGGTCAAAAGTCCATTACAGATTCTTCTCTGTTTCATTCAAATTATTAGAGAAGCCCAATCCCAACGTAATGATATACATTCCAGGCTCCGAGGACAGGTAGATGGTAACCCTGCCTATATGGCAAAATTAAAAACAATTCTATGAGTAGATCGTGGATATTTAGTTGAATTTAAATTTTTTGCTATTCTAAATACAAAGTCACATCATATTTTGAATCTTATAAGTATAAATACCTATTTCTTGAAATTTGCACAAGTCTGTGATAAAGCTCTACCATTGCTGAGATACCGTATTTACAAATAAAGGTTGCCTGGATACTGCACTCTATAGAATGCGAATACTGTGGATATTTTACTATAGATCCGAAGTACCATGCTTGTAATTCATGTATGTACTGTAAGTACGATGTATCGAATGGTTATCTAGAAAATAGTCTCTATCATTGAATTCGTGTTGGCATGCGCTTTGAGCCACAACTGTATTAGCACAAGCTACTATAATGGAAGTGATCATTCCAACATTACCTATAAATAGCGTTCAGGTGAGGTGAGTATTTTGTTTATCAACGCTTTGCATTATCAAGTTTAGGCCATTGATGATTCACTGGTTTGCTAAAATATATGCTTATCAGCCAAGACCTTCTAACTTCAGTAGACAAATGCTTGCTCTAGGCCTTCCTTTTAAGTGTTATATTAAAATGTATCACATATAAATAAGCACACAATGTGTGCACATGCCAAGCATGAGCTTATTTTCTACTACACTATATTGTTGGCTTTTGCAAATTAACAAATGCCAATCCTGAATATGTCAAAGATCTAACTTAGGATTGTGATCAAATGTTGTTCGATTCCAGTAAGGTAGTGGCTCAGCTGAGTATTTTGATTATCAGTGCTTTGTATTACTAAGTTTGGCCCATCTATGATTCACTTCTATCGGAACACTATGTTTACATATGATTTACATTTATATTTCAAAAAATTAAATCAACCTTTGGAAGGTGTGAACATATAGAAAAAATTTGTATTTCTGAATAGTGGTAAATTTAAATAAGACAGGTCATATTCATAGTGTAAATGAACATGAAAGTTGGACAAAAATCAAAATATAATTATGTTTTCTCTGGCTAGGGTTGCCCCTTCTGGATACATTTTTTTTCGAATCGAATCTCGAATCAAAAATTTTCGAATCGAATCTTTCCGAATCTGATTCCATTAAGCTTTTTATTTTATTTGAATGTGTATGTTTGCTCAATGTCACAAAAAAGCTCAAATCTAGAAGAGAAAAACTTGAAAATGGAATACGCTATATAGCAAGGATGATAAGGGTTTTTCAGTGAATGAGCCACACTTATTTCCATCATGATAAAAAAGATGTAGGTCATAGATATCACCAATAAATGCATTGATGAAAAACTTGCTGTTGCAACTTATCTGTGAGTCTTACAATACTCAGTTCAGTTTTATTTTCAAAATTTTAGTACAATATTTTATATTTATGCCAGTAGCATGGAGTAATACGACAAAAACATTATAATTGCATCTGAATTACTACAAATGGGAAATGCTTGCAAGAATATGATTGAAGACGATAAAATAAACCACGACTAAATTAAATAAATTTCGAGAAAAACAATCAATCGTTCACTCGACTACGATTGCGAACAAAAATTTCCATAAAAATTAGAGACAATATTATTTGTGGCTAACAGCGGTATTGGCTAACTCGGGCTTCATTATTATCGTGGACTACGTTTAATTTCGTAATTCAGAAAATCCAAATGTGCATAATGGACGCTGCGCTGACGGGCGATAATTGGTCGACGCTTTATCTCGATCAAACATGGTCGCTGGGGCTAAAGTAAGACGACATTCGCACAGTATACTTAGTCTGGTATGAAATCTGGCACGTGTTGATGTAAAACAGTGCACAAGTTGCCATTCCTCATATATTATTTACTCCCACCTGTCCGTTATGACATTTGCTAGAAATAATCCGAAATGTTTTATTCCCGCTTGTATCGCGCCAACAAAATTAAAAGTAAATACTACTTTTATTTGGTAACAGCTGAAAAAAGACGTGTATGTACTATTACATTATGTCCCCCTGATTTCGTTTACCGCCACTCGAGTGGAAGCCTGACAAACGCAAACAAAATAAATATATATTTTCGAATGAGAAACATGATTGTCAATTAACAATGCCGGCCGATGAACTCATTCAAGTAATAGTTCTCTTCAAATGTACGCGAAATATTTCACTCAGAACAAAGTTTAAATTAAATTTCAATCAAAATTAAATATTATCTAGAGTAGAGGTCGGTAGCTGATTCTTTATCAAATCATGCCAAGGCGCACAATAACTTAGTCGCAGCGCAGGTGTGCTGTTGAAAATTTTCATCAAAATTGTCACGAATTTTCAGGTGTACGATCCATTTGAATTCGCGCATAATAGAAACTTATGCTATTCAGTCGAAAACTGAACTCGCAGTTTGGTGGAAATTAGGCCACACATCATCCCGAGTGATGCGTAAAAGAGTGTGTTGTGCCGAACTTGAAACTAATGACAGCAGATAAGTGAAAAAGTCAATCACGAAAAATTCGGACCTCCTGAAGTATGCGCACCAAGATGGCGCACAACCTGAACTCAGATTGTGTACCAGGTTAGGGTTCAAGTTGTGCGACATCTTGGTGCGCATACTTCAGGAGTACCAAAAATTCATTTTCATTTATTTCCGTCCCGTAATTTGGTGTTATTTGGATGGCCGCATAAACGCATTCGGCAGATTTAAAGCCGTTGAAAACAACGATTAACAAACGTTCAATGTTTTCTTTCGGTCCCGTAATTTGGTGTTATTTGAAGTGCCGCATAAACGCATTCGGCAAATTTGGAGCCGCCGAAAACAACGATTTAACAAACGTTCAATGTTTATTTCTCTCGGTAAATCGCTCTCTTTTTCTTTCCGAATCGCGTAAATCTGATTCGAATCGATTCGGAAAAGATGCGATTCGAATCGATCCGATTCGTAAATCCAAAAGTGGCATCCCTAGCTCTGGCATCATAGAATTTATCACGCCAACCAGATAATTTATTCCATTAATTTAATAATATTTCATTTAATTTCAATTTATTAATTACTTAATCGCAGTAGTATTAATCCCAAGTAAATTAGCATTAGATATTAACAGATGCAAGTTCCACATGCCTTGTCTACTTACAAACTCAAAGTATAAAATACAGATAGGCGTCGCTAACACAAGAAAATATACTCTATATATCTATACTGTAGCATATCTAATTTGCAACAGTCCAGGTAGTATACAAAAAGACAAACGTAACCATGACGACATGCCGATTAAAAACAATTCAAGAAACAAAATGTGATATGAAGCTTAATGTAGCAGATTAGCAGTCTCAACTTAATTTCGAGAAATGATTTCAGTTTAAGTAGAAAACATTGTCAAAGCATTATACTTTTATGTAATCACAGAGGTACATACCTGTTTGGGTGAATTCAATTAAATCCTCTCTATTCACGTGCGGAGATAAATTTACCTCTTAGGGGTTTGCTTTTTGTTAAAAACATCCATTTACATCTATATTAAAATTAAACTTATCAAAATATTACACTTTAATCTAACCACATAGTTGTGAAAACTTTTTTTAAACAAGCCCATCACAAAATGTTTCTTGGTTTACTCTCTTTTCACCTCACAGTTATATTAGGCCTTTCTAATTTCATGAACTAAATCAGGGATGTGCAACATTTTTCATCAGCGGGCCATACAACCAACTTCAGACATCTAGCCGGGCCACACAAAAAATTTAGCTGGAAAGCCAACAGAAAAGAATGCGGCCATCGCTTACCCTTACAGAAATAAATGGACTTGATAAAACGGCAAAAGATTTAACACAGTGACAACAGCAAAAAACATTGTGTATTTTTATCCATATGATAGCCTTTCTAAACATTAACTGGCGGATTGAGATTTTGGGCTTGATGTGAAAAATCTGAGTGTTGATTAGGTCCACACTAAATGGCTTGACGAGCCGGGTTGTGGCCCGCGGGCCGCCAGTTGCACACCCCTGAGCTAAATACTTATCATACCATATTCAGATACAAACGGGACAAAATAATTCTGTATACAGACATAGATATGAGTAAAAATTTATTGCATGACTGTCCATGTTGATTGAATAATTCTGTATACATACAAACATAGATGTGAATAAAAAATTAATTCATTTTGGTTGCATGTCATGAATTGAAAATTCTACTTTTGCATAAAGTCACCATTCCTGCTGGTCTTGCTTATGCCTTGACAATACTAATAATAATTCCAAAGAGAGAAGCGAGTTATGGAAATTTATATTTACAGGGAAGATAAAAGTAAGTAAATAATATAAAACAACAAACACAGAAAATTCCATTTGTCCATTTTAAAACTGAAGCCTAAATCAATTCATAAATCACGAGCTCAGAGCCTAATAGATCTCATCTTGTTTTCACTTCATATCCTCTGTCAGAAGGTGAACTTGAGAACCAATGTAGTATTTTTATGTGGCATGCCTAACCACATAGGACAGTATGATGTTTTGGTAACTTACCTGAATCGTTTCGCCCTGTGCGTTCGTCTTTTGTGTAGTTCTCTCTTCGCACCCGCCCATCTATTTTATATTTCAGGAACTGAACAAAATTCAATTCAATGCTCTTTACTCTTAGTTTTCTTCGACACCCTTCACCTGGGATAATTGCTATTGCAGTAACGACCGAACGACAGGCTCCTTTTAACAACAGGGTTGTCTGTGGCAACTATGATCATATTTGACTCGTTAGCGACATCTAGGGTGACTAGCTCAGAGCAAGACCCTGGAACAATTCAAGCCAATCCTGTCAGGGAAATGTTCAAGAAAATATGAATTCCACAAAGCGGAAGGTCTTGTACTATGCCGATTCGAAGACAGCGTAATCAGACAAATTTTTCAAGGTTAAGTTCACGTAATCGGAAATAAAGTAGATTCATCTCTGAGCAAAGTTACGGTTGACCACTGATGTGGCAAAAGCTACTGGGGCAATAAGGAAGTGCAGAATTATGCGTTGGCGGATACCGACTCAGTTCAATATTATCAAAAAAACTACCACGAAGTTGTGAATTCGTCATAAATGAAGTTTCTGTACTGGAGTATTTGGTTGTATCAATTACGCAATCACAAAACGTTGAGTTCCAATATGAAAACGTCTCCCTTGGCGAATTTTGCGTCGCAATAACCAAATCAACGTCAAAGGGTAAAATTAATGGCTCACGACTAATAAATCAAAACATGGATTCAAGTGTAAACAACAACAAATCACAGAAGATAAATTTAAACGAGGTTATTTGAGTTCGGACAAGTCTTCTCCTTACGAATCGGGCTGTTAAAAAACATTCAAATGCCTCAACGTAATATCTGAGGGCTCAAGTCGATTTTTAGTCGATATTATGATGAGAACACAATATAATGCTTGCAAATTTAATTTGAAAATACTTCTATCGATTGTTTGTATACATTTCTTCTCACATGTTCAACGGCTAATCGGTTTTGGTTGTTAGTAAATTGCTCCCGTAGCATACGAACCAAGATGGCGCACAACCTGAACATAGTATGTGTACCAGGTTCGGGTTATCAGGTTGTGCTCTATCTTGGTACGTATACTACGAGAGCGCCGTAAATTGCATGCAATCAGATTACAAAGTGAGACGCCTAAATAATGACCATTCTTCGGTATTTATGTTTGTTTGCTAAGATGTGTTTTGGACTTATTTTCAGGTTTGTGTCACTTTATACAGATTCTAGTTATCTTTGCATTGTTTAATTTTTGTGAAGGCATCGATATAATTTTCATCTATCTTTCGGCATACGATTTTAGTTATATGGTGGGTACACGGGCAGTAAAATAGTAACAACAAGATAAAGGACTGAAAACTATTTTGGAGGGATAAGATTCTAAATAAGGGAAGAACATGGTCCATTACAATAACTGTAAAATAAGCACAATGGCGCATATTCTGTCGATAGGAAAGAATTCGCAGTTAAGACATAATTTGGAGCCAATCATATTCATTTTTTATTTTCTTCCCTGAACTCGACCTAAGAGATTGAGTACGGTCATGCAAGTTCAAATATGACAGCAATGTATGGTCGTATCAGTGATTTGTAAGAGTGAATCGTTGAGCACGGTAAAGAGATCCAAATTTCATTTGCATCTTTGGCATTCCAACATAAATTAATGGAGATGGCGAACACAGCGATGTATAATCTGTTTGGTTCGTATAGGATTCCCTCAATCAAAAACCCGAAACAAGCACGTTTCCAAAGATTTAGCAAGCCCAAGCGGCATTGTTTAAAGAAATTCACATCAATACTGGAATAGAATGTTGTGCAGTATCATGAGTGAATTGCAAATGAGATTATTTGGAAGATCAAGCTGAATAGGAGGAACAATGTAAGTCCGAGAATTGAGTCCTGGGGAACTTCAGAGTAATCAAGGTATAAACTGGCGATAAAGTTGATTCGGCGATCAGAGATAAATGACTCAATGTTTACCAGAACTTGTTCAAACACACCGTGGGACTTGTGAAAGAATCCGTCGTGCCGAACTCCATAAATTCTTTGATGTTGTCCTCTCCATTTCACAATGTTATTTGCCTGTTGTGTAAAAATCAGTTGCGGAAAGTATTAGAACTCCAACGTATATTTAGCCATAGAACCCATGCTTTTTATATTTCGGGAGTGGCAGGAATATTCAAGAATATCAAAAATCGCAATATTTTTCGAGCCGGGAGCCAATATTATCCTATCGGTGTGCCGCGCATATTTTATGCCTTACAATTATATAGGAAGGATGAAAGATGTTCGGTATACTGTTATATAGATAGCTTTAACGTTTAATATGGTATAACGCAGTGTTTTCCAACTCATGGTACGCGTGTGGTAGACGATAATTATCCGGTTTTAAGCTTTGCCGGAATAACGCACCATCGAAAACTTTGTAGCATCGTTTTACTTGTTTATTCCCGTAACAACTACAAATCAGCAATAAGTTAACAATGACGTAATAGTTAAAATTTATGCGACCGCCCAGACAGATATTCAAGCATGGTTGTAAACAATCCCTCGTTTTTGTGGTTTTGCGTGTTATTCGTCAGGATTTAGTTGTGAATCAATTAACTTGATAGTCATTATGTCTTCCGAAGATTTTTAGTTTAGTTACAATACTCAAAATTGATGAGTGCTTAAAGTCATCGGAAGGAGAGAGGCCACGAGCCATTAAGGTTTGGGAACCTCTGTTTTGTAGTATGACGTCATATTAGATGTGATTACGGTGGCATCAAACTCAAAGGATAAGATAAAAGGCAAATATTACCGCTAAGCAGTATAGCAACTTTATAGTTACAACTTCCAAACATGCGTTGGTTGCCTGCTCCTGCCTTATTACATATTCAAATGGTACTTTCCGAGGAAAACACACATAGATATTTTTTGATCGTAATCTAAAGTCTGCCCATTCGATCGGGTTTGTTTTATCGGGTCAAAATCTGATATTCGTTAGAAGTATCTCATCCAAACTGATAAATAAAATTCTCGTGATAGGTCACAAAATATATCCCTGCCAACGCCGTAGCAGTAAAAAAAATTGAGGGACCCCAGGTTAAGAACGCAGATTGTGCTTGAAATTTAAATCATCTCTAACCCGAACTGAGTACCTATTTTGGTACTTTAAACGTGACAGGGATGTTTTTCTCAAATGTCACATTTTCTCTTGATTGCGGGGGCTCCGTACAAAAATACCAAATCGACGGGAGAGGCTGACTTTACTTATTTGAATTTTTTGCGTAATTTAAAGTTACGCACGAATTCTTGAATATATTACTGAACTGCAATCAATATTATCAAGCCACGCATGGGCTAGTAAATTGAAGTCGCGACCTTGGTGCCGAAATACAAGCTCAACTTTCGACAAACCAGGATTTCAAACCACAGTTTGAATTACAAGCCCAGTCTTCGTTTGTTCCTTCATGGTAGTTTCGTTACCTTCTCACAAAACTTTTATAGATAGAAATCATGTTCCATGAATGTGAAGAACGCGGAATTCGCTGGAAATTGAAAGTCTCTTCTTAGTAAAGAATGATCGTTGAATAATTGAATATAAGTTTTCGGTGGCATTATATGTGTTATACCAGTACAATAGGTACATATACAATACTAAATGTTAAAGCTAAAAAGTCCTGTGAAATTGTTGTGTATTACGAAGTATTTCTATTTCCGAGCCAATTAAATATGTAAAAACAACTATAATTTAAAGCAGATATCCAAGTTTCAACATTCAGACCGTTCATAGAATGGCTTATTTATGTGTGGTATTGCGCAGATTATTGTTATATAATACCCGTCAATGAGAGACGTCACGCACTTGGATGTACCCCCGTATGACCTCATTTTTTAGATGCTTTCTAACCCCCAACAAATAGTTAAGGTTACTATTACAAACCTCGGGGTTTCGAACTTAAAATATTTGCCAAAACGGCATGTTATTTAAATCCTAATACTAAAACGTAGTTAAATTTTAAGAACAAGTTGAATATAATAGGTGCACATAAATGAATCAGAAACCAGGGCACGCCGTTTTGTGCTTTTCCATCGGCACAACTTTTATATTAAAAAAAATATCTCCTTGGCAACGAGACCTGTGCCGACCGACGCCATTCTGACATGACAATGATACACGGCAATTGGTATCTAAGTCACCGAAAAACAGCAGCAAAATTGTCACTAATAAATCTAATGAATGAATAAAAGGTACTGTTTGTTGCAATCTATTCTGCAACAAACAATGGCACAACTAGAGGTTCTTTCGGTGGTTGATACTCGTTTGAGAAAGCATGCCCTGCAAATTTAATCCAAAAAGACAACCTATGCTCAACAGTAAGGTAACAAATTCATATTTTATCAACTGAAGGCGGTTGAATTTTCTATAAATTTATACAAAATAGGCTTACCCTTGATAATTTCAGGTTGCGCTCCTAGTTCAAAAGTTCGGGGTTCGACACAAGCTTGCGGAATAGCGTAGGGGTTCGGCAGGCTCACAATGGTTAAGAACCACTGCCGTAGAATAATACGCTTAATGCTCCGTATTAATCATTTTCTGAGGCTATTTTCAAGTGATATACCACGTGTAATATGCGTCCCAAATCTGCACACGCTGTTACCTTGCTTGACGATTTTGATGACGGTTCGGGCTGCTGTTCATTCGTCTCGGTGATACTCGAAAGTAGCTCTGTAATACTGAAATATGTTCGATGAAGTATTCGTACTTTATAAAAGGCTTGCTGACGAATGTAACTGCTCACAGTGTAGTCGCATTTGCTTTATTTTGCCCTCCGTTAGTACGCAAACTTTACACAGAGGACCGCTATCCTAGTTTCGGGACTCGGGTATAGACGAACCATCTGCTGTACTTTTCATTGAGCAACCAATTTGGTAAAAATATTCGTCCTTGTCCAGTAGCTGGGACAAATGGAATCCGCCTCGTGTCCTCAGACATCAAAAGTCTATGTCGCTCACAGACGAGTTTCGGGGCGTAGCCTAGGTCTTTGGTCACATCCTGAATATACACCGTATAACAATTATATGGCCTAACTTGAAAATATCTTGTAGAAAACCAGGCAACTCTACAATAGATAGCCTTCCTTTAAATCATATACTGACCTAATCTTACATACATAGTTGAAATAGTGATAATGGGGGGAGCTGACTCTGATGACTGTATAGTTCTCATCAGTCTATACCGAAAAAATTTGCGTACGTTGTTGTATATATTTTTATTGGACACGTAGTGGACATAACGATCGTTTCAATATTATGTTGGTCTTGTTGTTGTTCTTTGACACTTTTTGGACATCTAGTGGAAAATCTAAAAAACCGCTTTTCTCTTTCATTACTGGACCGATTGCTTCGAAATTTTTACTGGTTAAAGATGAAATTTTTCTCCAGAAGGCTATTGCTTTTATTTATTTCAAATATTTCTGTTAGCTTTGTAAGATTTGTTTTTGTTTGCTATGACGTCACCGAACGTTCTGCGGACGCATAGCCGACACTCCTCTTCTTTTTGATCACGTGCCATCGAACGTCGATGTTTCGTAACGAAGTCCGGTACTTTGCTATGATTTTTTCCTTACGCTGTCTTACTACGGTACCGTTACTGTACCGTATTGCAATAATGTTGGTTTTCTTTTCTGCGGGGACGTTACCGTACCGTACCGTCTTAGCGAAAGTTGGAATTGAAAATGTTTTATGGGGACAGTATTGAAAGTTTTTTCATGGTTGCGGTACCGGTACCATAGAATGTCAGACTTAAAAACATACCCTACCTAATACCGTAGCGGTAATACTGCAATAGAGTTATCACTGTAAATAAGAATAGTCTATTTTGTCGTAAGTTTCGCAATTTTACCATAGCTTACCGAATTTATTTACTTGTAGTGTGTCTGCGGGTTAATTCAATTATTGTCTATTTTTCTTTAGCTGTAATGAAAATGTGTTGTGACGTCCATATATTTGAGCACAGCTCTCTTGTTGTTACAATGCTCACATTATGTGGTTGACGGAAAATAAGTCTCTCTCTCACTCGTCGCGTGTGCTGGAAGATTCGTTTATGGCCTCATGCAAGTACAAATCTTTGATTCAAATCCTACTCAATCATTCAATCAATTTTATTCGGTCACTCTGATACAAACAAAACAACAACAAAGGGACAGACAAAATACAGAGGACCTGGAGGAAGTTAAATAGGTACAAGTACGTGCCCGTCCCCCAAAAACAGAATAAAACAAAATCACGATGTAACATCGGGCAACAACTTATAAATTCAAATCGAAATGTGAGACGTGTATGTGCTTTTCCTATACAGATATATGGATTAAAACACTCGCTGACGAAAAATGGTGATGTTGTGGGCCTACTTCAATTATATTGCAAAAATAACACAGTGACAAATTTTTTTTACTAAAAAACAAGCTTGGTAAATGGATTGGATGTTCCATAGCAGTCTACGCACAAATCATGGATTAGGGTATTGGGTTCTTTTGTCGTTTTCGGTTGGTTCACTTTAAAATCATTGTATCCGTTCCAATGCTTCCAACATTAATATCGAATTTCCACGCACGACCACCATTCAGCCATTCCAACAGGTGCAGTGATCCCATCTTTTCTACGCTCTATTCCATCATACTCGACTAGATTCATAAAAAGATCGAACCTTCGCAATATACCCGTAACAAATCGTCCACCATTCAACTTTAAATCCAATCTTTTATCCATAAACTTCTTTAATTCTAGTGGATGGGCTTTGCTCATGTTGATAATGCGCGATACAGATTACAGATACCGAAACATACAACGCGTAGCATTCACTAGTCTTTTCAAGCTGACACGTCCGCACCCGACGACGGTCGGAACGGAAAAAAAAATAAAAAAATCATGGATTATATTTATGAAAATGGATTATGGATTATATTTATGAAAATCACTCCCTCTGCATTTAGCTAGACGGTTCAGGAAATGCCGTGTGTTCATATATTATTGTGCGATTTTCATCGTTGCCATTCTTCTTTACGTTTACTTGACCGCAGAAGTCGTCTAACTTGTGCTGTTCAGGCGTAGTCGGCATGAGCGCGCAGTCAAACGACAAGCCTTCGTGCAGGGACGCCAGAGCACACGTTACTCGAATTTCTCAGTCCGCACCGTGACGCAACGATCAGCGACTTTCAAAGTCTCAGCTGAACATGAGTGGAAGCCATCAGTAGTCAGTCAGTAGTTTTTTCCACCAACTTGAAATATACTTGTTACGAACATTAAAAAGTGAAAAAAACGTGGAACGGCATTCCACGGTGAAGGGAGACGTGAACAACGAATGTTGGTTATCGAGTAGCAGCACCCGTGAGCAAGTCTAACATTAATATAGAAGGAAGCCGAACCTTTTTTTTAGAAATATTTCGAGTATTCATGAATACCGCAGACCGCATTTGGTCAGATCTTGAGCGCTCATGGCGACCTCCACCCCTACTACCTTACATTCGACACTTCGGTATTTGTCGAACATTGCCTCAAACGGTTTGGCCCTTTAAACGTGTATAGCGACACCTAGGCTCGGGTCATGTGACCACACGCTTGCCACGTTTTAGCTTTGCGCTTTTTTGTAGTTTTTGTCACTCGTTCTAGGCACTTGACTTCCGACACTTCGACCCTACACCCTTCAACAACGCGTACCTCAACCGAGTTAAGTTATATTAATGTTTTATTTCCCTATTTTATGCTTTTATATCATCGATATTTTACTACAACAAAGATCTTGCACATTTTGTTAGAGACGAGGCGGAGAGTAATAAGAAAGCACAGTCTTGGCACGCGGAGTCTAGGGGACAACAATAGCAACAAACCCTACGGAAAGTTGGTGACATTCCGACGCGATACGTATCTTCTCCAAGCCTTAACCTCAAGAATCCGGAATCAAGGTTTTTAAATATTTTATTCCAGCAACAGACTGATTTTACCGATTTTAGGAATTTATATTAGCTTTTATCGAACTATTTTATTGGATGCATTTTAGTCAATTGTTTTTATTTACGTTTTACGATTTAAGGCCGGTATACACGGCAGTAGTATAACTCACCGCACAGCGACTCACCGCACTGTGCAGTGTGCACGGAACCACAGTTCTGCGCAGTGTACTGTGACGTGAGGTCAGGCGGGAAACGGACTTGTCCTTCGTCTTTTGTATTATTTCTGTTTTGGATATTTTGGGGATCGTTGCAAGATTAATTTTATTAAAATGGGTATCGTATCGCGAAGAAGAATAAGTCGTTTTCGGTCACGGCGCTACAAGCAGTACTTGTACCGACATCAGCTGAAGTTATTGTTTGTGGTTCTCTGTATTAGATTAAAAGAGGATGAGCGCTGTGTCGGCAAGAGATTGTGGATGCACCCAATACTTTGCAGACGAAAGGAACATGGTAATTTTTTTTTTACAATACACTAAATGCATACGTCTCAGTCTCACGAAGCCTATACTCACCTTCTTTGCCTCTAATTTCAGGAGAATACTACAGATTGGTTAGGAAGATGAGAATGGAAAGAGAAACCTATTTTAAACAGTACTTCCACATGACACCATCTACATTTGACCGTCTTTTGAATATGAAAGAGAGCAAGATTGTGAAACAAACTACAAATATGCGTGAACCAACTCCGCCTGAGGAACGACTTGCAGTCACTTTGAGGTATTTTGAAATAGGGTTTTAACCCACAGTATGAGTGAAATCGTGATTGATTGATTAAAATATAAATGAACAGTACCTAACGTTAGTCTACATATGGTAGTTTATCGCTAAATACAACATTATATATTTTTCAGATATTTGTTGACGGGGGATTCATATCAGACCATCGGGTTCTCTTACAGGATTCATAAAACGACCATATCGCGAATTATTCCAGAAACCTGCGCTGCAATATGGGATTCCCTGCAGCCTGTGTTCATGGCAGTCCCAAGTGAAAATCAGTGGAAGATTATTGCAAACGATTTTAAACAATTATGGCAATTTCCAAACTGTGTTGGAAGTATTGATGGGAAACATGTTGTCATACAAGCTCCTGCAAACAGTGGTTCATCATTTTTCAACTATAAAAAAACTTTCAGTCTGGTACTGCTTGCAGTTTCAGACGCCAAGTACAGATTTATTTACGTGGATGTTGGAGCGTATGGATGGCAGAGTGATGGGAATGTTTTTGCTTCATCATCTTTTGGAAAAAAACTCCTGGATGGTTCATTAGACCTGCCAAAAAGCACCATATTGGAAGGGATGATGGAGCCACTACCACACGTTTTTCTTGGTGACGAGGCTTTTCCCTTAAAAACCAATTTGATGCGTCCTTTTCCAGGTACCGGATTATCAAGAAGGTCCCGTATTTTCAACTATCGCCTCTCGAGAGCTCGCAGGGTTGTGGAGAATGCCTTTGGCATTATGGTATCTCGATTCAGAATTTTCCGCAGGCCTATATGCGTATCACCAGCCAGAACAGACCACACATTAAAGCATGCACAGTCCTTCACAACTTTCTTAGATATGATTCTAATTATTTTGAGGCGGATTTCGTAGATCACGAGGTCAGTGGAGGTGCAGTGCAGTGGAAGGCCGAAGAAAATTCAGCAATGTTAAATATCAGGAAGATTGGAAGGCCGAGTGCGAAGGAGGCAGTAAAAGTTAGAGAACAATTCAGCGAATATTTTGTCAGTGAGAAAGGGGCACTGCCATGGCAGGATAAATATGTGTTCTCGAGTGGTCGAAATATGATCTAAATGCACTATCCCCCCTATCATTTTTTGGTTTTATTGCTTCGTTTCACCTTTTCTGAATAAAAAAAAATTTGCTTCCGACTTGGTTAGCGGAATCTTTCATCTTGTTTTTATATATGTTGCCGCAGTGGAGATAATAGCAACTACGAGGGTAAATCACCAGACTGGTTGACATTTTAGGTACACTATCGGGTTAGCACTTACAGGGATGTACGAAAGCTACTGAGCAATGATATCTAGTTGGCATGATTTAAAACAAAAAAAATATTCAGGAAAATTTATATTTAAGTAATATCAATAGTTTATTCAATAGAGTATTTAATTTCATTAATGAGATTCATGACTCCAACTTTGAACCTCCATCTTTTTTCCACACTCATCGTCTTAACCTCGTGAACCATGCTCAACAAGAAGAGTTCATCAGGATCTTCCTGTATTTTCTCTAAAAACAAGAAACATTTATATATATATATAATTTTGGTTTGATACGTACCAGTAAGTAGATATTTTTTTGAGTGATCTGAAGCATAAATATTTCACCAAAAATTATTTACACAAATGAGAAAGACAATTTAAACTAAAATAATGTAGGTGTCATGGTACTCGTGTAGTACGTGAATCAAGATGCCAGACATCGGAACATAGTATGTGTACCAGGTTAAGGTTCAACCCTAATTTCAGATACAAATACTACAGAAGGCACTTGGCTAGAATTCAAATTCTTAACAGAACTAAAATAAGGGAAATCGGAATAAAATTATGTCCCAACCTGATACACACACTACGTTCAAAGCGTCCGCCATCTTGGTTAACATCGTACGGGAGCGCCAATTTTTTTGAAATAGCGACTCAAGATGGTTTCCAGGCATCCAAGTTATGAACCGCGATTCACTTTATAAGAATCACTGCTCGACTTGACTTACCTGATGACTGCTGCAATTTTTCTAACACAGCACTGAGGTCATCCCGGCTGCTTTTACGCTTTTTTGCCACAGGTGGTTGAAATTGGTCTGTTTCATCTGCTAAAAAAAGAATGGCATATTCGATCATATAATAGTATAGAATTCAAAAGCATTTTTTCAGAAAAGCGAATACAAACTATTTATTGCAACAGTGCATGATATTAGGTATTTCATAATACAGTATTATACGTCTGACAATTAAAATTTATAAAAATTTCAAAATCATATTTTGGTGCTTACCTGATACCGCTTCCAATGTAACATCAACATCACTCGAAGATGGTGTATCCGGCATGGCAGGTTTGATGTTGTACTGTAAATGTTTGTGCAGAAAGACGTTATCTGTACTTACATTACAGTGCCTAATTTTGGTCACTTTATACAAAAGAATGTTCTGAGCTACCTAAGTACTGATGCCTAAATTACACAGACATACTGTATAATAAGTTTAGGATTCTGAACATAGCTATGAGAAAGAACACAGATGTTAAATATGTATAAAATGTCCAAATCTATTCAACATCAATTTTGTTCGAAATATGTTCAACTATAATTTTTTACATTTCCTAATTCTTTGCCTCATATTTTTTAATATGAAATCTAATTTGGAAATTGATAAAAATACCATACTCAAAAATAAAATGTTTGTATAAACTTCGAATAGTACATTATTTAGTGTTGGTACCCTGAAAGTTACCTTTATGCATATCCTGGTCAACTACAAAACACGATTCTGGTCTAAACTAACAGCCTTTCCTTGGTAAAAGCTTCATTATCAAAAGATACACTGACAATATGTAGAAAATGCAGGCTCCTTTTTCAAACACCCACCTCCTCATGGCTGTAAACGGTTCAAGGAACTCTAAGGATCTCATAAGGCTCCACTCAACCCGATGACTTGCCGCCGCACCAGATT